CCTGCTTTTCCCAGTACCACAATCACTTTAGTCTCTTTACCTCCTGAGATTTGAAATATTTGGCTTCTTTTAAGGGCTGCGTTTTCCTTCCCTTGCAGACTGCAAGTTACCAGCTCCTTTTCAAGTGCTTTGACACTATTCTTCCCAGTCTTGGTTTCAGTTTGGCTTTGAACAAGTGTCCCCTCAATAAACAGGTGATCAAGAGGTACTTCACGCTCCATGGCCACAGATTTGCACACATCTCGGAAATAATCCATAAGTGACGTACAGAAAGCTTCCACTGGCTCTAGAGAAAAAAAAACACACACAAAGTGAAGAAACCAGTCCACAAATTACAACATTGCTTCAGGGTGGTTTAAGTATGTAATTGTAATATGGTCAAAATACCTCTATTCCCATAAAGCACCTAGGTCTGGATTTATCCCATGCAACTGCAGGTATTTAAATTAGGAGTGCAGTCACAATAGACACTTTTAGACCTAGGAACTGAATAATTCTGGAGGTATCTACGCATATGAGAAAACCAGCTAAGTACACTGACCTCCTAAGTTAGGTACGACAGCTAGATATCTAAAGGCAGACAAGTCTACTATCTTAAAAACAGAAATTGTGCTCAGACACTTGGAACAGCTTCACAAATTACTGAATAATAATTCCTGCAACACGAAGCTTTCCTGCATGGAAAGAAACACAGAAAAAATAGCCAAAAAATACTGGAAGTTTTAAGTTCAAGAGATCTAAACTTACTTGGTCTTTTGAAAGGTTCTTCAGAAGGAATTATGGGAACTCGGACTTCTTTGAACAATTCTAAACCTGGAGAAACAAAACAATATACTTGAAGAAGACACTTAGATAGTCATTGATTCAGCTTTACTAATTTTAACAATAAGACTAATGCAAATTTTCAAGTTCATTGCAACATATATTACGTAACATCCAGAGAAAGAGCTATTTTGTTTATTTGACAGGGGAAAGGAAAAAAATCCTCACAGAAGTACAATTCAGCTGACATGAACTGCTGCAGGCAGTATGACACCAAACAAGATGACAGCTGTTCTGACAGCTGTATGAAGCAGAAGACCTATCATAAGAAGGTGACATCCACTGTTCCTTTCAAATGGCAGTGTTTTGCATAAATTCACGTTCACACATAGGACTTCTTTATGCCATCGAAAGCAATAGCTTCCTCTTGTTATTCTACACCTTGTAACCAAACATTAAGGATGAAAGTCGCGGAGAAGTGACTATTGGTAACAGAATTTACCCATTACTCTTCCTGACAAAGTACTGTCACTGTCCAATTTTCTTTCTTTTTGCCTGTTTGCTTTCAAATGACTGCAGACCTTCTCACTTGGTCCGATGAGCAATCTCTGCCATACACAAAGAAATTGGGAATTCTTCAGAGAAGCTATATTTTTTACAGGCTGGTAATGAGAGAGTATCAGTTTTGACAAAACTTTTGGTAGGAAAAGCTTTGCAGATGCGGGACAGAATTTAAATTGACAGAGACTGTAACAACCCAACCTCATCAATAGTCTCATGGTAACCACGCTCAGAAGAGATGTTGGGAAAAAAACCCCACCAAAACAAGCTAATCTCCCTAGATTTGCACAAATGTATTTATTACCATAATATTTGGTTCATCTTGATGTAGAATGAGGTTTAAAAAAAAATACAAATCTTACAGTTTCACAAATCTGGAAGTCAATTCCTACCCTGCATGCCAGCAACAGGAGGAATGGTTAGAGTTCAGAGTTGCTTCTAGCAGGGAAGCACCCACAGACTTCTAATAAGCAAGTCCTTTTTTCCAGTGAAAGAATACATTTGGTATAGAGATAGCTCTCCTCCTTGTAGAAGGAAAATCGACTTAAGATATTAAATAAGGAGGGGACATGCTTGTTTTCAGGCAAGTGTCTGTTTGTGGTTTACTATTTATTTTATTAAGTAAAAACAACAGAATGGAAACCCAAGAAAAGCTGCAATGAGACATTTAGATGGGAAGCAGCATTGGTCAAATCAATCAGGTGTTCATAATTTTTAAAAAAGGAAAAGAGACTGGCTTGCTAGCTTATGTGCTAAAATTTCTCTGCTGCATTAGGAGGCCTGAGGGTTGCAACAAACTCACATATGTTGTGCTGCTGTAAATCAGTTGGAATTACTAGTATTGTGTATTCACATAAACAGTATATATCATTTACAAATACTTCCCGAATCTAGGGGTATTTGCCTATTAATCCCCACTTAAAAAATTTGCTATTTTGGGTGGTATTAGCCACCAGAGGGCAACAAAACACTTGTACTAAGCTGCAAGCAGCTGTACTCACCAGGGTACACAGAGATCAGAAACTAAATAACCGCTGAAATCAAATTCCCTGTTCTAACAGCTCTGAGGGCTGGAAGAAAAGTGTCTGAGGAAAGTTTGCTACCACAGGTGGGATCGTTATACCCTGACCAAGGCTCTGATTTCTTTATAAGCCTTTCTGTGTGTTAGGCTTCTGTACTGTTTAGTTAAATAAGCCATCACCATTTTGGTTTTGGGGCTTCCATGTGAGCTGACTGCAGTCTGGCTTTCAGCACCAAGCATTTAAGATGCTCAGGCCATTCCAGTACCGGCACAACTTCCACTTCTGATGGTGCTCAAGCACACTGGGCTTTTGTATTGTTTTAACTAGACAAGAAGACTTCTTCCAGAAACTGGACTTCATTGCAAACACAGTGGATTGGCTGCTAATATATAGCCGAACCTGTAGCTCTACAACCCCTTATGTGCTCTGTATTTTGGACTAGACTAAGCAGCCAGTGATCAGTACGAAGAAGGAAATGCCATTAATGTTATTTTCCTCAATAAGGTCGAGTAAAGCCTGGAGGGGAGAATTGGCTTTGGGTAGAAGCAATATGCTCCCTCTCCCAGTCCAAAATACTGTATATATATAAATTCATTTTCTACTTACCACATAAACTAACTGGAAAACTTGCGGACATCAATGTTTCCATGGACGAAGTCAGCACTGACAAGAAACAAATGATAGTTTTCAGCCTATCATAGCTATCAGTAACGGAAATGAGGGAACTTAGTACTTTGTTGACAGCACTGATTTTCCAGTACTTTCTGCCTATTTATGTGGATAAAAGGTTATTGCTCTTACCTGGATATATTATAACATCAGATGTGCCATTTCCAAGAACAAAGTTAAGTATCTGCTGAGGAGGATCTGCAAAGCCTATATTCTCTTGGCTCCCTTTCATGCCGACAGGTAGACACTCTGGAATCAAAGGTGCTGAAGATCCTGAAATGAGTGCAGAATAATTACTCTTCGGTTTTTAAAAGCTCCTGGTTTCCAAAGGTTTCTAAGGAAGAAAAAGCTTTCTAAAAGCTACTTATCCTTTCTGGCAGCTTCTGGGCAAATATTCCCAGTTGAGTTTATGAACCAGAATTCACAGGATCACAAGGTCCATAGAATCCATTAAACAAAAACTCTTAAAAGGTACAATGAATGTGAAATACAAGGGATTACCCAGCTTTTAGTGACCATAATTGAGTTTCAATAGCCTAAAGAGAAATTCTATTACCAGATGGAAAACTGCATAAGGCAAAGTCTGTAAATGTATGGACCAGAGATCCAAAAGAAAGACAATGTGTAAATATTATGTATCTAAATTAATTTTACCATCCTTTGCGCTACATCTTTCCCACATAATTGCACATCATGCAGCTTGTACAAGCAGCTAGCAAGCATCCTCTCTCTGAGGTCGCACTGGGAAATTTTTTTGATGATGCACTGCTTGCAATTTAATCAGCCATAGCTCTGAGTTTCTGTAGGTGTGACAGAATTTCTTCTGCTACTTTGTGCTGTTTCAGCTAGCATCAGATATTTCAAGACTTCAAACTTATCCACTGCTTTTTGGTTCCTTTCCAGCATAGATTTAACAGTGAAAGGTGTTGAATTGTGTTTTTGTCATTAGCACTTGCCAGTGGGCCATGAACACCCTCTGCTACACAAGGTGATCAAGGCGAGGTGGCTACACAGCTCATCACTTGGATTAGTACTCAGTTTTGGTGAACAAAATTCCAACCTAGATTTTTCTCTGCTATTGCAAATATAATTATCCCACAGTCCTTTACAAACCTCTGCATGAAAAAGAAACTGGAACTAAACCAAAGTTTATGAACGAAAATCTTGTGATTTCCCATTCTTAAGACAAATAAGTAATTATTTAGATTAGCATATAGTAAATAACTCTGCTCTCTTACTTATTAACCTGCACTTCACCAATTAAATGAAACACTCATTCTATTTCATTAGGGGCAAAGCACTTTTAATTTCCCTTGAATATTTTTCATTCTTTCAGTGAGTGAGTGTCACACTTTTAAGTGCCTGACTGAAACAGCTGCCATACCTGTTTTCCCCGCCATTGTTCATGGTCAATGACCAGATTTATAAAAGAGTTTCCCTCTTGTATAAATCAACCTGTGTACAGGAGCACACCTATAGCTGTACTGTACATACCAGGAATTATGAAACTTCTTTCCAACGCATTGGTAGCAGGAACAGAAAAGGACATGTGCTGGTTAGTTAGTGAGGTGGAGCTAGCTGGATGGCTGTTGAGAGGCATGGCTAAGAAACTGCCATTCTCTGCAGACACTGCAGGGACTTCCACTTGAAAAAAAAAAGCAAAACAAAAGGAGAAAGTTATTTCATTGCTAGAAGTAAAGGGAGCCAAAGAAGAGGTTTCAATAGATATGATAAACCACTTGATTCTGATCCGCTGTGGCTTGATTTTCCAAAAGCAAGAACAATTCGCAATGGCCGCCTGAAATTTACTCAGGTCTCAAAATTTAAAATGTATTTATGAAATTCTGTAATAGATCACTTTTTTCCAGTAGTTCACTCTTTTCATTTTCTTTTTCTTCATCTTTCCTGTCCTGCCTTCTTTCTAGAAACCTTCAGATGTGTTTAGATGTAAATGCTCTTACACATGGATGATTGACAGAGAAGACATAACGAGGTCTTACATCGGCTGTACTAAGGTTCCCAAGCACGGCTTGTTACCTTAATATTGCACAAGATTAGAGAGGCCCACGTACAATAAACTGAGGACCTTGACTCTCTACTTAGACGCTACAGTGCTTGTAAGGATAACTAGTCTCTGTTAAGAGGGTTTCCCAAAGAACAGTCAAAACACCTGAGTTTTAAAAGATGCAGTTTGCCTGCAGCACTTGTTTTTTTCAAGAAGAGGACAAATGGGGAGGGAGACTTACGTGCATTGTATGATTTCATAGAATCACAGAATCGTTAAGGTTGGAAAAGACCCTTAAGATCATCGAGCCCAACCGTTAACCAAGTCCACCACTAAACCATGTCCTCAAGCACCACATCTATCCGTTGGCCGTTTCCTCTCATCCTATCACTCGTTACTAGGGAGAAGAGACCGACCCCCACCTCGCTACAACCTCCTTTCAGGTAGTTGTACAGAGCAACAAGGTCTCCCCTCAGCCTCCTCTTCTCCAGACTAAACAACCCCAGCTCCCCCAGCCGCTCCTCCTAAGACTTGTGCTCTAGACCCTTCACCAGCCTCGCTGCCCTGCTCTGGCCACGCTCCAGCACCTCGATGTCCTTCTTGGAGTGAGGGGCCCAAAACTGAACACAGTACTCGAGGGGCGGCCTCACCAGTGCCCAGTACAGGGGCACCATCACCTCCCTGGTCCTGCTGGCCACACTATTCTTGATACAGGCCAGGATGCCATTGGCCCTCTTGGCCACCTGAGCACACTGCTGGCTCATGTTCAGGCGGCTGTCAACCAAAGTTTCTTACAAGTCACGTAAGATACACTTGCTTATTTTGAACTAGTCTGCTAGTTTCCTTGGTTTTGCCATGGCCTTATTCTCAGAGTTGGTTTTGCTTTTCTTTCCCTGTCCTGTCTAGCAGCAACAATTAAGTCTCTCTTTCACCACTTCCTGCGGTCTAATGTTTTATCAAGAGCTACAAACCTGTGTGGGTTTTGTGCCACTATCGGGTACACTGTCATCTGGAATGCAAGCTCTTTAGGGTGCGGTGTGTTTACGTTGTTTATCAGGAACTGATGTATTATTTTGTTATAGGAATCTTCCATTTTTACTGTGGTGTAGACTTTAAAAAATGTTTTTCAGCTTCTGTGTAAATAAGCATGTGAAATGCCCACATGATTTCCTATCCACAGACTGTTGTGCTGCTAGGGTCAGGTACTGTTATAGCTAGCCACGAACAGTTGGGCAAATCTAAAGTTCAATTATTTCATTCAATTCCTTTGAAAGAAGCCACCCTTGGCTTACCACTCTGAACTTTAGTACCCATTATCCTCTTTACTGTAGGTAGTCTTACATTTCTGAAGAGTTGATGCATTCGCCTTTGCAGGATCATGCTGTGACACTCATTTTACGACAGGTTAAATAAATTCCTGATTTTGTCAGGTAGCTCATCTTTCTGTCTATTAGATTTTTTGTACTCGGTACTTATACTGCCTTATGTATATATTCCTTCCCTCAGCACCTTCATTGGGTCAAGTAAGGTAGAGAGAGTGATAATATTCTGAGCACTTTCTGGAAAAGGATAGGTGCAGCTTCACAAAGCGCCTGTTAGCTCTGTGATGATACTGTAGACTGGAATGCAAGTTCTGTAGGGTGAGGCATTTTTACTCTTTTGGTTTTGTTTTTTTTTAAAGCAGGGACTGATGTGCCGTTTCCTTATTGAAAACTCTCATTGTTAGTGTGGCATAAACATAGGCTTTAAAAAGCGCCAAATCTGTAAAGGAATTTAAGCAGATAGAAGGTAATGCACCTTTAATGGGTACTAACTGCCAAGAACTTTACCTGTGTCTGAATAACTACAACCAGCAGGTACCACTTCAGTAGGAACTCTGATTACCTTTCCAGATCCAGCAAACGTATTTTTTTCACAGCTAATTCTGCTCATTACCCCCTCGGAAGTCCACATGAACATTGGAAAACCAGCTTGGGTCCCAGTCCCAGTGCATGCGTGTGCTCTCTATGACTTTCATCCAGCCCATGCCAGCTCCTTAGCAATTGCTGGGCAATTGCCAGCCTGAATTTTGCTGAGGCGCAGTCCCATGATCCAAGCACTCCCTGGATGGCTCTCTAGGTTGCACACTGGTTTTGGCTGCCCACCCTGACGCGTACACAGCCCGTGGGGTTTGCTACAGTCAGAGTTCCCCTTAGGAGGTGTGGGAAGTGTGCTAGCATACAGTAATGCATATGTCACTTCAAAACACAGTATAATATATTCATCCAAAGGTGATGATCGCTCTCACATGGATTTTGGAAGAGTATTTTGCTGGTTTAGCTATGCCTGAGACACTCATTTAGGCTACAGCTGGGTAAGAACTTTAGCACCTGCTTACACTTAGGGAACAAGCTACAGCCTGCCTGCTGGCCACGGGTGCTGCCTTGTAGATGGTCTAACAGCGTGCAACACCTAGGAATTTCCCTTTCTCCCATTCTTACTTTGGTTTAAAGGACTGTATAGCATGGGCTCGGCCACGAAGCCATCTCTTCACAGTTATTATTTTCACTAGGATGTTTCGCTGGATTTTTGGAAGGTGTCACACTTAGAACAAAGAGGATCACACCCACGAAGTGCCAAACTATGGCCTGAGTCACATTACCCATCATAAACAAAAGGTGTACGTGATAAAAATTACAAAATTTGGCACTGACCCAGTTCTCCACTGTTCTGCTTTCTTTTCTCAGATGGATTTAGAAAAGTTCAACTGTGCCTCTGCTGATGCTAAGGAAGTAATTTTTCTGTCACCCAGCAGGAACATGCATAAGGATCCAGCTGTTCCCAGACTACCATGTAGTTGGTCCTAAAGTGCACGGTTTAATAGCTACTGATAAGAGGGCATGGATTTGCTGCATCATGAATTAGTCAGAGGTGTATAAGAATGTGATTCTGCAGTGATTTCTACTCTGCAGGAAGTAGAAACATGAAAATGCACGACAATGCTGTGCCATCAAATCTATGAGAGCAAACTTTCCCTAGAAGGTAGAGTTATAATACCTAACAGAGGATGAGACTTTGGAACATGAGACAATATATGTTCAATAATCTTTTCCTATTCAGCCAATAACTTACCAATTTTCTTGTATTTGGGTTCTGAAGCATCAGAGCAACTCTCTGCAGAGCCTAAGAAGGCTGAAATAAAGAAAGAAAGGTGATAGTAAGTGACAAAAATCGAACCAGTTTGGTAATTTTAAGTTTCCACCATGGAAACTTATTTTAACTTTTTAAAGTAGAAGGGGGTGTTACCAGTTTCAATTCAGCTATTTCAGAACCGTACAGGTCCGATGTATAAAACATGAATGTGAAAAGCCTCGTATTATTTTACTCTGACTGTGAAGTTTCAATTGGGCTGCCGATTTTTGTGCCAGTAATTGAAGATTTTTGCTGTTGTTCTTGCTATGAGAGAGGGAATTGTTTAGCTAATGCTTGCTAAGCTATAGGTACACTGAAAACAAAGTTAACACTGTCACACAGATGATTAAAAAAAGGGAAGAAAGGTACCATGCTTAATGTCATGTTACAGGACAACAAATTCTGCGAATTGTAAATGTTTTCAGCTCCAGCCCACACGGGGTAAGCACAGTCAGAGGAAGCACATCGGGTTGTATCAGTGAAGAACTACATGAGCGATGCATTGAGGCTGTGTTAAAACCAAAGTACTATAATGCAAATTTAGAATTCCAACACTACAGCCTTTCAAACTCTCACTGTTTTTCACTTACTTCGTTTGTGACATTTCTGCATCTTTATGTCAGTAAATTTCTCGGTGTTTTCAGCAGCCATTTCCTCCAAAATAAGGTTCCCTGCTAAAAACACGAAATATTGCCAAATGTCAACCTTTGTTCTCCTAGAAAAGCTATAGAAAGAGGTAAAAGCAAGAGAATCACACCAACAGGCAGCAAAGATGAAATATGCTCCAAATAAAAGACAAAAAACAAATGACGCAATAAAACACGTATCCAGATCGATATGATTTAGAAAGCCCACAGAGCTCTGAATGCAGATTCTGTCACCCTGTGTTAGTTTCTGAACTGCAAAATACTAACCTACTGCCATAAATTTGGTGGCTGATAAAACCTATATACTTCTCAATGCTCTAATGATGAGCAAAGGATAAAACATCACAGCCACATCACAGTAAGAACTCAGTACTAGTAAAGTTCCTTACTCATTTTATGTACGAAAAGGATTAGATCCTTTAAGAGACAGAGTAAAGGGTTCTAAACAGATTTTATATTTTGCGTTGCAAGAACTGTGAAATTATCCATACCATTCTTCCACTGGAAAATACTTAAGTACTAATACTGCGTCTCGTTTCCTCTAAAACCTATATAAAGTTTGCCATTAGGTGCAAAAACCCCCACATTCTAAACACACCAGGGAGCAGTAAAAAGCATTTAAGACATCATGTGAGCTTCCTGCAGCTAGAATTGTCCTAGGGAAGGACTGACCTTTAGTAAGTTATTCCACATTATTTTGCTCAAACATAAAACAGGATACACAGATATTCTGTGAATCTTTCTGATTCTACAGATTTCCCAACAGCCACATATTACTATACATATCTGAAATAGCAAACAGCTGCATTTGTGCCACTACCAGAACAATGATTTTGTACAAAAGCCAAGCAATCATCTCTGGTCAAGCACTGAAGGAACCATTTACTGCATGTACATTGTACCACTGCTGCATTGATCAGAGAGAGAAGTAAAATTTGACACGCTTCCTCAGGCAGCTCTGTGTATCCTGGACAGAAATAAGTGTGCATGAACTGCATTTATATGCATGCTAAGTCCTGCGGGTGGGTCAGGTTTAATGAATTTATGTATATCATCTCTGTTGTGCTCAGAATAAGTCTGATGCTAATTGAGGGCATATACTGCACTAGACAGTTAAGCTGTGCACACACTATGGCCATGGTGACGTGATCGGTAACTTGGTCAGAGATAAAACGGCCATCTTTGAGAAAGGCCTGCAAAAATACAGAAAATCCTCAAAGTTTGCCAAGAAAATCTTGGGACACAGTTCCCACAGGGAGAAGAGGATACGAGATGTATAGAAACCTTACTAGTGTTCAAATTCTAGGGCTGAAGTACAGTGCAGATGTTAGCCAGAACACTGTAATAGAGAAAATTAATCTTTGCCACATAAATCTTACCAAAAGTGTCTTCCACCTGCTTCTCCTGCTGATCTTTGAGCACATATTCTGCTAATTCAGCTAGCAAGAAAGAAAAAAAAAAAAGGAACACAGAAATGACACAGTAAATTTCACAGTAAAACTCTAGTAAGCTTACCCTAATTAACAGAATTTGCAGTATAAGTGAAATCGAAGAGTTAAATTAAGTTTTTCTTGTAAATTGTTGTTCAGGAAATGAAGAACACGAGAAAGGAGAAGTTGAGACGGGAAGTATTAAGCAGAAGGAGCCATTAATAGAGAGATTTTCCCCCAACAACCACAAGCTACTGTTCATCTGTTTCCCCACAATTCACAGGTTTAGGTACCCTGGCTAGATCTACCATCCGTGAGGGACAGGCCACTTGATTATATGCCACTGCTTTAGACTGAAAATAGAATTTATAAGAAATAGCTATAGCAAATGATTGGAAAATAATGATTGAAAAAACAAAAATTGCTTTCATACCTATTCTAGCATAAGCTTCTATGGTGTTGGAACAGAGATACAATTCATCCCCATTTTCCCCATTTTCCATCGTACACAGGAAATCCATGTTATTCAACTGCTCATAGTTGCAGGCATCAACTTCAGGATCTAGAATTAAAAAGGAGGATGCATTGGCTCAATGAATACCATAACCAAGGAGTAAAAAAACCAGATAGCAGGACATGCAGAAAAGGCAGATTTGTTACTTCAGCATAAGGCTTTGGCTCTTCATTGTATGTCACCTAAGCAAGAACAGAACTGAACTCTCAGTAATTTATGGTCACCCAGAAATCAACACTTTTCTGTTGCTAAACTCTGAGACTTCCTCTGTCCTAGTAAATGAAACAGTTCCAGAACCCATTCTGTGACACTAAGGCCTACACACATGGCCTGGACTCATCCATATTATTAAACCCTCTTATTCTTCAGGATATGGTGGTACCATCCAAATTCCCTGTTCAAAATGATGCTGGGTCCATGCTAACCCCTGAACTGCAGCTACAATTTGCCTGTGAAGCTGCTAGTTGGCCAAGGCCAAAATCATGCCCGGGACCATGCTAACATCTTCACAGCAGAGATGTCCAGCTTCCAGTAACTGGCACCATGTCCTGACAACGTTCATGCTTGTTTTAGCATGTTTTAGCATGTTTTAGTGTTTTACTAACCTGCAGAGAAGTCACCTTCTTCGTTTCCAGATGACTTAGGATCGAGGAGAGTATACAGATGCAAGGGATCGATATCACTGTGCAGCAAATCAAGATAGCCATTTTCAGACACAAATGCTGAATCCATGATTTGTCTCTTGCTGCCTGAAATCAAATTGCAAAACAGTTAGTTATGACAAAACCACAGCTTTTGTCAACCAAAACTACATGTCCTGCGCTGTAGCTTTCTGTTGACAAGACATTGACATCTTAAGGCTGTGGAACTGGTATTGCTTAACAAGTCTTGCATTGAGTTATAACCCTGAGTTTCTTAAACTTATAGATCCAGATACAGCTTGCAACGAGACTTATCTGGTTTTTACTCCAATCAGGGGAGTGGGATACTGCAGTCTGACTGCCTGGACTAAAAGTGCCAAGTATTGAGTAAGTCACAACTCCTGTATCTTTATCAGCATCTAAATGATGCAAGCACAGATCCAGCAGGCATTGGGGAAATGAGAAGACTGCAGTGACGAGGATGGAAGAGGAATCCCATTCTTTACTGTCAGGACAATTTCTTCTCAGGGGAAGCAGCTTCTGGCTGGCATGCTACACCCAATTCCTAAGCCCTGGAGGTGGCACTAGAAGACATCCCCTCAGCACAAGAAGGAACAGTGAGTAGAACACCTATTTTTATATAATTCTTTCCCAAACCATACAGCTGATTGTGTACAGAATGGTATGGTCACCTTGGGAATTAGCTTCTGGTAACAGGGCACTCACTGATGTTTTGGAATCTATCACAATTATTTTTAAAGCAATTTTCTTTCCCCCTCAGAACTTGTGCATGTACCTACTCATGAGCTGGGAATTGCTATAGCCTTTCAAGCAGAGTGCCATACAGTATCCAGACAAATCTGACTGATCGAAGGTGCTGCCTGCTCCAGTCACCCATGTTTATAACAGAACTGCTTAGACTGCTGCAGCTACATTTCTTGATCAAGTTTATCACTTCCTCCACCTCATTTTAAATCCCTTCTATTTCCTTCCAGTTACTGCAGCAGGCACTACAATAAGCTCAAACATTCCTCCTGGATATTCCACAGGTAGTGGAGTAACACTACTTGTTGGTTATTCATCACCTTTATCAAACTATTTCAAAACCAAATATTGGCTCCTCGGTGTTTACAGATCACTGATATGAATGCCACCTGGGCTCGTGATCCAAGGAATTTACTCCACCATAATACTGAGATGCCAGCACGGAATGAACAACCAGCAAAATTTCCAGACCACACCACACACCACAATCGTGAAAAGTTTCAGCTTGGCATCAAGCACCATATTTTGCAATGAAGGATAGCTATAATATGGCTCTCAAATATTCTGCCTTTAGCAGAATGCCATTGATGTCCCTGGTTGCACGTCTGTTTTCCTGAGGTGTGCAAATGTGGAGCAACCTGCTGTACCATGAAGTCTACCTGCCACATGAAAAAAGAGAAATACAGCTAACACTGCAGCTCTGATGAAAGAAGGCAGAGCAGACCTAGCCACACACTACCACACGCTGCTTTGTTACAAACTAATCTTCATTCCTCTTACCCCTCTATGGGGTTGTCCCTCTGAACAGCTTGGAAACGGACCTCTCTGCGTTCTGCTGCAGAAGACACCAGAATCTAGAGCCAGAACTTAGAAGAGCAGGTGGACAGAGTGAGGTCCATGAGTAGGAATAACCTACACTCAGGTAGATCTCCTTTTTCATGTTGTGCGGCCTCATTATGTTATCAAGATTAGAAAAATTTGATATTATTGCCTGCCGTGCTATAAATGGAAAGCAGAAGTTGACAAACCTGCATGAGAACCAAGAACCAAGAATGAGGTTATAAACATACCAGATTAAATTTTCCATTTGTTGCAACCTTTTTTGCCCCTTCCTTTGTTGAATTAACATAAAGTCTAAACAGAGTTGGGCCTTTCAGAATGCCAGGTTGCCGGACTTCGTGAATAACGCTGTTGAAGCATTACCTCTGAGTCAATATAATTTTGGGGTTAGAGACAGAGAAGTAACTGGGCAGAAGCCGTAAAGGGAATACAAGACAGACAAATGCATCACTCCAAGTTCAGTGATTAGTAAACTTGATTAGAGCAGACAAAGAAAAGGGCAAGTCCTATGGAAAGAGACTAAGTAGACCTACTTATCTTCATGGAAATACTAAGCTTTAATTAAATTGTAGTCATAAGAGCTTTTGTTATTTTAAACCTTTCTTTCAATAGCATTTCCCTGTGGATAAATACATATGTAATGCAAAATGTTTTCAGCTACAATGGTCGGGAAGTCAGGAAGCAACCAAGAGGAAGTTTTGCCAGTGCCCAGTCCGGCTAGAGAGCTGAAAACTGGAACGTCAGAGGTGCTATAACCCCGGAGCACAACAGTGAGAGAAACATAGCCTTCTGCCTTGGGAAGAATGAAGATTGCCACTCTTTCAAGAATGAAAAATTTGATTACTTGTCTTTTTTGTTTCATCAGTCTGAATGGCCCTCACCTTACCCTCTTTTTTCTTCATTCCTTTGGTTATGACACAAATCTATACATAGCTGTCTTTCTATTGACTACACTGGATTTGGGATGCTGAGATTTCTTTCTGTAGCTGAACCAATAAATTCTTAATAGCAGCTGTGCTTTGCTGAATTAAAATCATGGTGCCACCATGGAAAGCACTCTGTCCAAGGGTGCAGGAAAAAAAAAAGTGAATTTTTGAAAGATGAAAATTTCCACACCGAGCGAGCCAGAGGCAAGGAGAATTACACCTCAGGGACAGCGAGGGTTTTGCTGCATGTTGTAACTGGAGCACACAAAATGAAACCAGACATTACCAAACTGGTTTACAACAGCAACTCCTTTCCCAGGGCTTCCCCTTTTTTTCTCACAGCATCCCAGCAGTCCCCTGTCAGACCAAAGATGAATAAGCTCTATACTGCTCCGCACTTTCTCTGCTCTTTCATACAACAGTGGCTGAGTCCCCATCCCTGGAGGTATTTAAAAGATGGGTAGACGTGGTGCTTAGGGACATGGTTTAGTGGTGGGCTTGGCAGTGCTGGGTTAACGGTTGGACTTGATGATCTTAAGGGTCTTTTCCAACCTAAACGACTTTATGATTCTATACATGATTTTAACTTAGTTTACTGATAATTCATTCCCTTTGGGGTCCCATACAGTGCTGCCAAAAGGGCGTTTGGCACATTTTCACATCAGAGGACTAAAAATTTCACAATAATTTCTGTGGTAGGGCTGCGGACACTAGAGCCAGCTCTTAGCGGGAGGAAGACAGACCCCGCACGGACCTGCATGACAGAGGGCTGAAGTCCCCAGGGATGCCTGCGCTCTCCTTTGCGGCAGGCCTCCAGGCACAAAGCGTACATGCTGGGTGGGGGAACACAGGACGTACTCCTGAATTGCCGTGCCATTCAGGAATTTCAATCCTTTGTTGTTTGGACGCTGGTTAAGACAGATGTTTTTTCTTTAAATCTTTCAATAACACCTCCTTTCTCCAGCAGCCTATACACTCCAGCTGCATCGCTGTATTCGGTAGACCTGTGCTCCTTTTGCATTACCTCTGCAGTGATGCAGTGCATACCTGCTGCAGCAAGGTTGCTACTCAGGATGCATTTGTTTTAGCGCTGTATTCTGCATATACAGCACAACAATATGATTCACTTCTAAGACTCTCAGTGGTTTTTTCAGTGCTCTTTTAGAGTCCAAGTGATACCATATGAATTAAAAATACTGGGAAAGTAGTAAAAGAAATAGTGACCGTCACCATACCAGGACAAAGAATCCAGTTAAAGGAGCGGGTGTTCACTTAAATCACATACAAGTCTTAAGAGTTAGATGGGGCATTTTAGATTTCTAAAGATAAGAGAGGTGGTTGTGATTTATCATTTTGCCCCAACAATTCGATTTAACCATGTCTTATATTTTAAAGGATCAACATGTTAAAGACTCCAGGCAATGGGGTCTGCTACTAACTAAAATCAAATAGTATCTAAGAGAATGGAGAAGGATTATACAGACAATAATGTAACATTTACACCAAAAATCAGGTGGATGCTTCTGAGGAGATTTGTTAAGGAGGTTCCTTCCCAAAACTTTGTTGACATCTGAACTGACAGGTAATAAAATAATCTCCCACGTGAGTATAGAGGTTAAGAAAATGAAAATATGTAAAGTCATTTCAGGAACAGAGGAAAGCCCCTGCAATTTAATTTTTCTACCAGTTTAGGAAGCTGAGGATAATTCATAGAAAAGAGTAGTAGTGCCATGCAAATCACACATTTCTGAACCGGAGGGTAACATAGCATTACAGCTCCAAGGCTCAGATTACAGAAAAATAAGAGAGTGGGACTGTTGTGAAGACAGGAGGTTGAAAAATTAAACACAAAGATTGCTGAAGAAACGTTATTTTCTTGCAACACCCCAGACTACAAGTGCTACACATGAATCTGAGTGAAGCAAGCTGACAAAAGCCAAGTTATATCAAACTCTAAATAAGGAGTCCAATGAAGCAGTGGTACTTTGAGCTAAAAACTCAGTATCATCAGCCACAATTTTAAAGCCTGTTTTTTTTTAGAAAGTGTTGTCTCTTCTTCTGTGCCCCCAAAGGTTATGGCATTGCGCGCAATACACACACCAGCAGGCAGGGATGTGTTTCTTGGCTCTGCCACAGGCAGTGGTTCGGGGCAATGCTCCCTGGGGGTGGGCAAACCAGCAGCGAGGAGGGAAGTCCCCTCCATCCTACTGTCTCCTGTCTCCCTTTCCTCTCCTCAAATCCACCACTAACAATTCCTCTGCTCCACAGGTACCAAACAGATTTTCCTTTCAGAGATGGTCTGATTATTTGTAAACTGCAAGTCACAGTGCTCTATAGCTATATTTACCTTTGAAGGTTTTAGTTTCTATTTCAGATTTATGAAAGGCTCATACATCTGAAAGCTGTTTTAACTTTTCCTGTTGTATCACCCAGTTTAACAAAAGATACTACTTTTACCGACAGTCTTTATCTTGCCGATGGTGTGTTACTTTCCATGGGCTTTATAGCCTGAAAGGATGAAGAACAGAGATGATGCTGGAAAAAAAGCTGCTCTATATCCTGCCACATTCTCCTTTGTCTTCCTTAGAGACGAGTTTAAAGAAGCTAGAAAAGTACAAATATCAGGTAAAAGGAGCTTCTGCCTTTCAGTGAACTTAGCTGTATAGTGACTAACACAACAGATAAAAGAGATGTTCCTAGCCTTGTGCTGGACACAGACGAGTTCAGGCAGACTAATAACGTACTGTCCTGCAGGTGTCAGAGTTGTGTTTTGAGAGCAGAATTTGCCTTTTCCTATGCAGTATTGCCTCATGTGGCACAGCTGTGCCCAGCGCTCCCATCCCAGCAGCAAGATGAAATAAAGCAGCACAGCAGACACCTTGCCTATAAGCTTTTTTGGCAGAAAAAGTACATTAGCACTCAGCGACATTCTTCAAGACAGAATCTCTGCCCTCCTAAATGGGAAAGTAAAGCTCTAGGTTGTCTTGCCATATTTGTGAAAAATATGGAAATAAACCAGTTTCTTCCAGTCATCTTCAGTTTCACTTTCTATAGGAGCAACATTTATACAAAAAACAAGTGCATTTCTAACAAAGTCTGAAACAAACTACAGCAAACTTTTGAGCGAGTAACTGGGCCAGCCACAAATCAAAATTGCGAAAAATTCTCCAGAATTTCACCCGCATTCAGACTTCATCGTACTAACATTTCGAGCAATACAATTCCAGGTGCTGACACACTGTAGCTACAAGTATCTACAAAAGGTAAGATAAAATGAATTTACCATGACAGAAGCACTGCATTGAAGAGTTGAGGAAAAACTGACCTTAGGAAACTGGACAGTTCCTGTTCTTTCACTCTGGATTCAGTACCAATAAGCGAGGAGAGCTGCTATCACTGCCCAGGGCTTATAGAAAGTGACACTTGAAAGGAGGAAATAAGCCAGACCAGTCACTGCAAAAAAGCTAAAGGCTCAGGGGGAATTCCAAAGAGGAAAAGGAAGAGGAACCTCCCTTCTAGCAACCCCTGTATAATAAGCACTTTACCTTTACTGGTTGCTTGTCACCACTAAGAAGAACTTGCACTCATCACTAGTTAGGAACAGATTGATTTACTTGGCTGGAAGTCGAAATTCGATGAGAGCCAGCGGTACTGATTTCAGGTGCTCCCCAGAATTCTTCCTCTCCTTTTTTATTGCAGTTCAAATCTGCCCCAAAGTCATGCTGTTAAACAGTCCACAGTAAGAATAAAGAAAGCAGCATGCAGACACTCCTACCTTGCAGCTCCATTTGCTGCAACAGAAGTGAAAGTATTTCTTTCACATGTTCAGACTCCACCAATACAAAATTCGTTTGGTATCTTCTGCAAGTGTCTCTTGCCATTGGCCAAAAATGACAAGTAGGATGTTCTAAGAAACCGGAGCTCATCCGTCTTGTCTGGCTTACACATGGTGTGCAGGGTTTGCTTGTAGCAGCATCTGACTGAATGTTTATTCATCTACTCATCGCTTACCCTGCCAGCACCTACCTGGCATAAGACAAACAACCTTTTGAAAACCAACTTCATTCATGAGCGTTCCTGTCGTGATGCCTATAGCTGCTTCTGTGTGGCTCTGCAAGCTTATTTGCCTATTTTTCTATTTTTTACCATGAATAGACCTACGCAAATGAGAAATTAGTTACGAAAGATAATATATTCTCAAGTGAGCAAATACTTGTTGTAGTATTATTCCACTGGGTATAGCTCATAACGGGTCTGAAGGGGAAATGGGATTTGATGATGTCAACAACATCCAGGACTTGCTGCTTCAGTAAGGCAAGTTTTTAATCAGCTGCTCGGTAACAAATGGCTTCTGCACAAGGCAGCAGGTCCTATAAGCAAAGCAGCTGCTGACCTGTGTAAGCCTTTTCCCTTTGCAGAGGAGATCCACTTCCACCAGGTTCCATGGAACATGCTCACTGAGAAGAGATAAAGCTCTTTCCTTCCTGGGAGCAGCTATGTTCCCAGTATTTACAAAGATAGGGGGCCCAGCCTGCGATGAACAGCACTAGCCTCTTCGGGCTCTCGAACCAGCCAGGCAGCTGTGTTCTTGGCATTCCTCTATGCACGTTGGAAGAAAAGCAACATCTCGGTACAACAGCATTCAGAGCAGAAAATAATGAAAGGCTGCACAAATACAGATTCTGTATTTTAGTGCTCTGTTTTGATAGGAGACAATAATACAATCACTGCATGAGAAATCCCTACAAAATTTAAGAGGGTTATTTGTTAGTCCTGTTCCCATGTGCAGCACAGCCCCGCAAGTTATAAACTCCTCTACCAGCCCTGCAGGCAGATTTCTTTACCAGCTTCTGAGGCTGTAATCCCATGAGGCGATCTATATACTTCAAGAACAAAAGTTTGGGGAACAAAAGAGTTCGGCTGTTTACTGTGATTCTAGCTCATAACTGCAGCAAAGACTGGTTGTCCACTTTTTGTATAACTCCCACAGCTGCTTAGAAACAGCAGAAAGGAATTGCTGGAGCAAATCAGAGTACTGGTTCATCTACTGAACTGGTCTATAAAGATGGTCTTAGAGACAGAGGGAAAAGCAGACTGGAAAACGAGGCTGTGAGACAGGTGAGAACTGCCTAAGCTTCTCAGGTGACCATCACCTTCTTTGCTTCAATGTTTGCTGATACGCTGCCCTACTGCAAAAGGAGGGAACAGAATGTATTGATTAGTATTGGAAGCACTACAAAACAGATGTCAATAGTGCACTTTGCAAGAGGGGGAAAGCTGGGACTGTTTTGTCTAGATATTGTAAAGATCTGTTTTGCGGTAGCAGAAATAGTTGCAAAACTACTAAGTAGGTAGTGAGAAACCTGCTGATATCAGTCTGTTCCTGACCCAAATTTTCTTTGCAAGGTTTCTTCAGAGTGAAATGAGGATTGAACATAAGGCTGAAAAATTAACAAATTTCAAAAAGAAAGTAAGAAAAGAATTTGCTTCAAAGGAAGCTGAAGTCTCTAATACAATTTGAGTCATTTCCTGGTGAATTAATGTCTTTGAAACCACTTTTTTTTAAGCCCATCTCTACTACAAAATCTAGACAACAGTGACAATGGTTGAACATGTGATGGGTGAAGACTAATGCTTCTTCTGATGTGCTTCAGTTTCCCTCTGTCATGTCTCAAATAAACGCAGGCTTTGTGACAGAGATACAGAGCCAGGCATGAGAGGATCAAGATCTCTGAATGGAGATTTTAGGTGCTACCATTACAAAAATGAGAAGGAGCAGATATCTTTTCAAGCACTTCAGGGATTTAATTAGAAGTAGAAACCAGACTATATATACTCCCAGCATAAGTGACACTAGGCCACTTGCTATGATATTCTACATTTAAAATATGAATTCTTGGCATTACTTTGAATGTGTGTAATAATAGAGCTAAATTCTTCCAGGTCAGCATTTCGCCCTCTCATGAACTATCTTCATTTTTTTCCCCAGCGTTTCTTCTTGTACTTTCATCCATGCCTTGAGAAGTGATGTCCAATACTGTACTTTAGGAGAGGAAAAAATGTATACCCCTCACTACGTGGCACCCCAGGGTCCTTCCATCAGTTTTACAGGACTACCCCAATATTCTACTAAGTATTCTTTTACTCTCCTTTTACCGTTGCTTGGTTTTGTAAAAGTAATTCTGAATGCTATAATTTAAGCTGGGGTTCTGTTGTTTTACATAGGATGGACAATGTTAAGATTGTCCCAGAGCTACCCCTGTTCTCCAACGTATACGTTAACCCTCTGGTGGGTCAGACTAAAAAGTGAGTTTACTGCCTCAGAATTATAAGGTGCCTGCATTTTCATCTCCCCTGCTGCCCACTAAAAACCTCAAAACTCTTGAATCCAGCCTCATAATTTATTAAGTACTTCCCATCCTTAAATCTGCAGCAGTCTCTTGTAGACAGTGAACTTCTGTTGCTTATAGACATCTGGAATTTAAAGTGGAGAGCATTCCTCCCATGTATGATTGAAAAAGATACGAGATTTCCCTGTGTGAGTTGCCAGCATGTACCATGAACAAATGCTACTCAGACTATCAATGGTTGGTATGTCAGCTGAGAAAAACTGACCTTATCGTGGTCTCTTTAACCTACTTTGCATCTCTGGTTCTGCAAAAGGTGGCAAATAACAAGTTTTATTATAGCCTGGCTATAAAAATGGGTATCCGGTAGGTGCCCTGAATGGGTGGATCTCTTTTTAGCTGCTCTTGCATTACATTCTGCTCTCTTCTCTTCCCTACCCGCTCTCCACTGATGTACTTTGCACTATGCCACAATGCAATCTCAAAATGCAATAAACAAAAGTAAATCTTTAACAAAGCGAAAAAGACAAAGAAGTTGATTTACCAGAAATGTACTTGCTTCCTGTTGGCTCATTATCTATCATGTTTTGAGGCTTACTGCCATAGAGGCTTAAACAACAGAGGGGAAACAAAGTGTTCAAGTACAGGTCCCATTTTTCCACAAATGTCAGAGAGATCTTCCTTGCAAGGTCACCTCTGTCTTTTTCGTGGAGCAAGGCTTGATGGTACTCCTTGGATATCACACCTTCTTTCAGCATGAGGTTAAGCAACGCATGGTCATCAAAAGCTGCAGCAGCTGAAAGAATCTTCCTTAGTCTAGGCAGGATCTCCTTAAAGAGATTCATACCTGCATCTGAAGATGTTTGAAGGAGGTCTGACCAAAATCTGAGCTGTTTCAATAAAATAAAAAAAATCCACTCAGTCAGCATCAGAAAGATGAAGTGAAAAAAAAAGAGTTAAAGAGACTTTGGCCTGCAATAGCAGAGGTATTTCCTCATTTGATTAAGCCTTTAAATAACATTTCCAACAACAAACAACTTCTTGATGAAATGCCAACAGCAGCACAATTCTTCCAAGCACTCATAAAACACAATTTTCCAATCAGCAACATGGTCACCTGAAAAAATAATTTTAAAAAATATTTATCCCATTAGAGAAGGATTGCTATAGGTGGATCTTTGTCTCCTGGCCAAGGTGGAGTGTGGGCCCATTAGTGGGCCCAGCAAGGTCATTGCTGAATCAGGACAGTACCAAAAGCTTCAGCACAAAACACATCCTCTGCAAGAGGGATAGGTTTAAAACTTGGAGACTCCAATGTAAGATTAGAGATTAGGCTGTGAATAAATTCTGCTTTCATGAAAGTCAAATGGGTTAGAACCAGGGTAAAAACTCTGGGGTAAAAAATTATCCCAAATGTGGCTCTGGTTTCTGCCATATCAAAAGATATTAGGAAGAAAAATAACTAGGAACCAAGTGGGCATGACTTCCATATCTTCATATTCAAAGTTAACATACTTACATTCCAAGGGGCAGACACTTAAATTCCTTAAACAGAAGAGTTTTCAAGTCCCCAGTTTAAATATGTAGGAAATCTTCCACACCACTAAACACAATGTTAAAATACAGCTCCAAACCTACTACAACCTGAGCCCTCAATTCAGCTCAAAACTATTAAGAAATCTTTTTTCATATCGCCTTCTTGAGTCATTTCTTGCTCTTCTGTTGTAGAGCTCAAAATGAGGCAAAAATCAGCTCAAAACTATTAAGAAATCTTTTTTCATATCGCCTTCTTGAGTCATTTCTTGCTCTTCTGTTGTAGAGCTCAAAATGAGGCAAAAAAAAAAAAAAAAGAGAGTTTACCATCTTTGGAAGAAGGGGCGGGCAACTCAGGAAGACTACAAGGATGTTGTTAGGTTATGCAGGGAGAAAATCAGAAAGGCAAAAGCCCAGCTAGAACTTAAACTGGCCACTGCAGTTAAAGATAACAAAAAAATGTTTTTACACTGAGGTACTTAATGCCTTCTTTGCCTCAGTCTTTAATAGTCAGACTGGTCATCCTCAGGGTATTCAGCCCCCTGAGCTGGGAGACAGAGATGGGAAGCAGAATAAAGTCCCAATAATCCAAGAAGTAACAGTCACCGACCTGCTCCTCCACCTGGATGCCCACAAGCCTATGGGGCCAGATGGGATCCACCCGAGGATACTGAGGGAGCTGGTGGAGGAGCTCGCCAAGCCACTTTCCATCATTTACCAGCTGTCCTGGTCAACCAGGGAGGTCCCAGCTGACTGGAAGTTAGCTAATGTGATACCCATCTACAAGAAGGGTTGGAAGGAGGATCTGGGGAACTACAGGCCTGTCAGCCTGACCTCAGTGCCAGGGAAG